CATGATTGCGATCATCGGAGCGTTCTTCCAGGGCGGTTTGACGGGTCCCGCGCGGGGCGACTGGGCGCTCTACACTGGATCCCCGCTGCGCGCGTTCGAGAGTGAGCTGGGGGTGCAGGACCCGGTGGGTTTCTGGGACCCCGCTGGGTTCACAGCAGACAGTGGCATGGATAACTTCGCCCGGAGTCGACAGGCCGAGTTGAAGCACGGGCGCGCGAGCATGTTGGCGACCATGGGGTACATTATTCCGAAGCTTGCTGGCGAGCTGCCTGGGTATATGTCGCCATCCGCGGGCCTCAAGTTCGCCGATATCCCGAACAGGCTCGGTGCTATCTTCAAGGTTCCCGCGGCAGGCTGGGCGCAGATCGTGGCTTGCGGCGCATTCTGCGCGCTGCCCCAGGGCCAGTCCGCTGGCGCCGCTGCCGCAGCAGTCGACTTCGGCTGGAAGGTGCTGACGTCCAGCGACGTCGCAGAGAAGCAGTCCAAATTGGCGGTGGGGATCGCGGACGGTCGGCTTACCATGATGGCGATCATCGGGGCGTTCTTCCAGGACGGGTTGAGGGGTTTCGCGTGGGGCGACGGGGCGCTCTACACTGGATCCCCGCTGCGCGCGTTCGAGATTGAGTCGGGGGCGCAGGACCAGGTGGGCTTCTGAGACCCTGCTGGGTCCACAGCAGATAGTGGCACGGATAACTTCGCCCCGAGTCGGCACACAGAGCTGAAGCACGGGCGCGTGTGGAGGAGGAGGAGGAGGACGAGGAGGAACGGGGGGGTTATGATGATTGGGAGGGGGGATCAGAAGGAGAAGAGACAGGGAGGAGGAGGGAGGAGGAGGAGGAGGGCACAGGGAGGAGAGAGGAGAATGAGGCAGGAAGAGGGCTTCGCTTGTCCCTCGCCGATCCTCGCTTCTCCCTCAGTCCTCTCTCCTCGAACTTACCTTTCCCCCCTTTGCCCTCGCTACTCCTGCTTCCCCTCCCTCCCTCCCTCCGTCCTTCCCGTCTCTCTCCCTTCGCTTCTTCTGCCTCCCCGTGCTGCCTGTCTCTTCCCCCGTCCGTCCTCCTCCGCCATTTTCCTCCCTCTCCGTGGGGGCTGGAGGGCGGCGGGAGGGGCAGGAGGAGGGGGAGCGGGGGGAGGAGGAGGAGGAGGAGTTGAAAAGGCCGATCCTCCATCCTTCCTCGGAGTCCTGCTGCCCGCGCTACGGGTGCTTCTTTTCGCTTACTCCGTTGTGTTATTCTTGTCTTGCTCCTACCTCCGCCCATCCTGCCCCTCCTGCTCCTGGCCCCTTTCTACCTGTCCCCCGCAAGAGGGATGATGATGAAGAGGAGGAGGACGGACATGGGGAGGATGCAGGACGATTTGTTTGGCACCGCTCCCGCGTTGGCTTCGACTGCGCAAGGCTACGCCCGAAAATCGAGCAGAGGTGAAACATGGCGGGACGCAGCCTGCAGGCTAAGCAGCGGCACAAGAGGAGGAAGAGGCGGGGGGGGAGAGGGGAGGGGAAGGAAACCCGTCAAACGACCTGCAACTCTATAATTTGTGGTGTTGGCTCGGAGTGCACTTTTGGGATTTCAGTTGTATCCCGTAAAACGGCCCCGGCTACGGCCGATTGAATGGCGATTCTGGACAAGCCCCACCACCGATGTTAGAGGCTGAGGGTGGCGCCGCGGCGAATCCAACCATGCAAGATTCGGGAGCGTTCACGGGCAAGTTCCGGAGCAAGTTGGACGCACTAGGTCCCCCAACTTCCGAATACTTTTCCTCCCAAGCGCAGCAAAGATCCCAAACCACTGTCCAACGCTTGATGATAATCGTTATTATTTGTTGTGTTCAGCTTGTGCAAGTAATCGAACCCCCCCCAAGATGACTTGTCCCAGATCACGGTTGCCCTGTTTTCGTTCAAGGGGCTGACGATTGTAACATCGCGAAACAGCGGGAGTCCACGATGTAAATCCAGACCGGGCGCCACCATGTCCAGTCGTCGTAAACCATGTGGGTGTACGGGGACATTGGCACGAGCCAGTCGACGTTCTATGTTTCTGTCGGGGACGCCCCCTGCTGTTTGGAAGATTTGCCCCCAGGCAACTATCATCTCTTTATGCCGAGAGGACAATCTGCTGTTGGCTCCGTCCGCGAGCCGCGCATGCCCGTGCGAATCAGGTCCATGAAAACAACAGGCGACACCCAGACGCCGACGCACAGCGCACTTGAACAGGTCGTTCGCAATGCATAACCCATTTGTGGCAGGACAGACCAAGAGCCACATCGACGCTAATTCCAGTGGCACAGTTGCATGGGTGTTCCATCAATGTTTGACCTCGCCCAGGAATGCCCCGTTAGGCTCGGCACCTGGTGGCCGTGCGCCCATGGCCAAGTCCTCCCAAGTTGGGTATTATTGGAACGCCTTCGATAATCTTGGGTCGTCTTGGATCCTCCTGGGTGGTCTTGGACGGTATCGGGTTGTCTTGGATAGCCGTGGTTCGTTCTCGATGGTATAGGATAAATTTGGATTGCCTTGGACTGTTTAAGACAATTTCACATTGTCTTGGGTAGCTTGGGGTGGTCTTAAGGCCTTGCGTAGACTTGGACATTCTCGGACAGTTTCGGATCGTCTTGGGTGGCTTTGGGTACTGTTGAAGAACCTTCGGTTGTCTTCGAAAGCCGGGCTTGGTCTGGAACAGGGGAGGGGATGGGGGAGGGGGGGGGGGCCTCAATGACGCAGGCATCATTTGCCCCGCTTACAGAAACCCCTGAAGCAGTTTACTGAAATGTTGTGCAATTCACCAATGTTCGCAGTGAGTTGTCAATTCCACTGCTCGCGCAATCATCCCACCCAGCCACCCGCAACTTGGTTTGCAAAACCCATGCGACGGCGATTGCGATGAGTGCTTGGCGTTGGCTGATGCACCTCTGCGGCTGCGCTAGCCCGCGCATGCTCGCGCGCGCAGGTGCCAGCTAGTGCGGCGCGACCGACGCGGCCGCGGTGGCACTGACCGCTGGGCACTCCCCAGCGGGCACTTCAGTGCGAGTCGGTGACTTGGGCGGACGCGGTATCATGGCGACGCCGACGACGGCAGACACGATGATGAAAGAAGCGATGATGGTGACGACGGTGGCGATGACGACGTCAAGGCCAAGGACGGCGCCGATGTTGATCATGCCCGCCGATAACGATGATGATGTCTTCGCGTCGGTGATGAAGGTTTTGGAACCGGTTCGACATGCGCGCGCGCGCGGTCGGCGGCCGACGCGCGCGAGTGGCCCGCGTGGAATTATTTGAAACGGATCGTGCCCCCCACCACGCGCGCAAGGGCGTTCGGATGAGTGCGGCATTCGACGCGAGAGGTCCATTTGGCAGATTTTGATGACAATGTTGAAGGACTTAGAAAAGGTTTGTTCAGAATTCGCAAACGCGCAGGTTTTTTGTTTAAAAGCATGGATGTTACGAAACGTTTTTCTTGTTCCAAATATGTTTTCGGGTCGCTCGTTTTGGAAATCCTTACAACACCCAAGGTTTTTGAGAGATTCTGGCATGCGCGCGCGACGACGCGCGCGTGTGAGTTTCATTTCGTGTTTGCAACATTGTTTTTGCGACAGCACGCCCGCAAAGGGCGTTCGAACGATTCCGGCATGCGCGCGCGAAGGGCCCGTCTGGTAGCATTTTGTGAACATGTTGGAACACCATGGGTTTCTTAAGAATCTGCATAGGCGCGAGCGTTTTTTTTTGGAGGGGGGGAAATCTTTATTACGATTTTTTCAATATTTTTTCGGGGCATTCGATTTTGAAATCCTGCGCCCTCCTGGTAAGGCTCTTTGCGGCTCTCTTGGGACGCCTTGACGGCCTCGAGGGCCGTCTTGAAACCATCCTGGGCAGTCTTACAGCGCTCTGCGGCCACCTTGGTGGCCTTGGTGGCCTGCTTGGGCCGTCTCGGAAACCATATTGGGCATCTTGGGCGCTTTGGAGAGCGTCATGGGGGTGTGAGGCAACCCAGGGAGCCTCCATGGGAAGGGGCGGTGCATGCACGGAAGCGCTTCCCGTTGGGGGGGAGGAGAGGTGGTTGTAGAACGTGACAGAAATCCGGCCAGACAGACCTTGGCATCCTTCCACGCCTCAACGTGCACAATGTACGGTGTCGGACTTGGGGCTACTACGTGGGGCTATATTTGGGGGCAACACACGGGGGCAGCACCCGGGGGGCAACACATGGGGCAAAACGTGGACGCCTCCGGCCGCTGCCCCCTCATTCTTATGTTCACATGTGGGGGGCTATGTAGATACGGATGGAGAGTTGCGGCAACCAGCACCAAGCATCAGCAGTCGGCAGGAAACGGCAGTGTGCGGACGGACGAACAATAAAGCAATCAACCTCACAGCACGCGATTCGGTGAAACGCTATCAGTTCACCAGAGTAGCCACCACGACAGCATGACAGCAGGCGGGCAGACCAGCAGGGAAGCGATCCTCACCAGTCTACGGAGCCCCCCTTCGGCTCCCCAAGGCTCTCTGGCGCTTTTCCAGGGCCGTCACTCCTCGCTCCCTGCTCTTACCGCTGCTTGTTTTTCCCTCCTGTCCACTATTCCTCACGCCTGGCTGCTCGGTCCTTCCCCCTCCATCCTCACATCCCCCTCCCGCCAGCACGAGGGCCTCAGGCGCGCCCCAGGGGGCCTCGCGACTGCCGCCTCCTCCCTCCTCACGCCCTGCGGACCCTTGGGTCCTTCTTCGTTGGCGCGCCGCCTGGTGCGGGGGTGGTTCTTTCTTCCACCCCCTCTGCGTGGGGCCCCCGCACGGCGAGGGGCCGCTGGAGCGCTTCGTACCACCAGAGCCCTCGGAGCCCTGGCTGCTGCCTGCTCACTCCTTGCTCGTCTCTCCCTCCTCGCTGCTCGGGCCTAGGGGCTGGCGTCAGCATGAACGACTTTCGTTGGAGTTGCCGCCATCCCATCACATGCCACTCTGGACAGATCTCGTGGACTGCGGTGCACGGGCCAGCCCTGGTCAGCTACAGCGCTGGGATCAGCGCGTGCGAGAAGGGGGGACAGTGGCAGCATGCACTAGCGCTGCTCGACCACATGCGGAACGTGAACCATTATCCGAACCTCTTCAGCTACAATGCTGGAATCAGCGCGTGCGAGACAGGAGGGCAGTGGCAACGAGCACTGATGTTACTGAGCCATATCCGCGAGATGAAGTTAGACCCCGACGCCACTAGCTGCAGCGCTGGGATTAGCGCATGCGAAAAAGCTGGGCAGTGGCAGCAGGCGTTGTGGCTCCTAGGCTGTATGTATGTCGAGGGCATGTTTCCCGACGTGGTCAGCTACATAGCTGGGATCATTGCGTGTGAGAGAAGCGGCCAGTGGCAATCTGCGCTCTGGCTGCTCAGCGAGATGAAGGAGGCGCAGTTGGAACCCGACGTCACTGCCTGTGGCGAAGGGATAAGAGCGTGCGAGGAAGGTGGGCAGTGGCAGCAGGCTGTGTGGTTGTTCGGCGAGATGTTGCTGGTAGCAGCGAGTGCGAGACAAGGACGGCAATTCTAGCAGGCGCTGCAGCGGTCCGAGATACTTGGCTTCAGCGCAAGGGTTAGCCTGTCCGAGACAGGCGGGCTGTGGCAGCAGCCTCAGTAGCCACTAGCGAGATCAGAGGAATCTTTGATGCGCCACGGTCGTCAGCTCCAGCGCGAGGTCCAGCACGTGCGAGAAATCCGAGCAGTGGCCACAAGCTTCGATGCTCGTGCTTTTGCTACTACTGCGAGATGTGGGAGCCGACGTTGGTACTTGATGTCGCTTCTCTTCTGAAGCATGGCATGGAGAGCTCGGACCAGTTCTGGTGCCCTCGGCGGGCGCGCATGGACCCAAACATATTGATATAGCTGGTTGCATGGTAGCCAGTGTGGACCCCACAGCATGCTTCTAGCAGTGTATGATGTGCCATCTATGTGAAGCAATCTATGTTGTGCAATCTATGCTGTGCAATGTATGTTGTGCAATCTCTGATGTGTTATCTATGTGGTGCAATCTAAGTGATGCGCAATCTATTTGATGCAATCGACGTGCTGCAATCTAAGTGGCGCAATCTATGTCAAGTTAGTTATTTATGTGGTGCAACATCGGTTGTGCAATCTAGGTTGTGCAATCCATGTGATACAAACTATCATACTGCATATACGTGTAGGTGTACCTATAGTTAACTCTATGTTATGCAACATAGGTGGTGCGATCAATGCTGTGCAACTAATTTCTGTTCGCAGTGAGTTGCCAACTCCACTGCTCGCTCAACCATCCCACCCGCCCAGTCGCAATTTGGTTTGCAAAACGCATGCGTCGGCCATTGCGATGAGTGCTTGGTGTTGGCTGGTGCATGTCTGCGGCCGCGCTAGCCCGCGCATGCTCGCGAGCGCAGCGGCCAGTTCGTTTGGCGACCGACGCGGCCGCGGTATCGCTGACTGCTGGGCATTGCCCAGCGGGCACTTCAGTGCCAGACGGTGATTCGGGCGGGCGCGGTATCATGGCAACGTCGACAACGGTAGACACGATGATGGTAGTAACGAGCTGGTGACGATGCTGACAATGACGACGCAAGGCCAGTGACAGTGCCGATGCTGATCACGACGACGACGACGACGGCGTCCTCGCGTCGGTGATGAAGGTTTTGGAAGGAGTTCGACCTGCGCGCGCGCGCGGTCGACGCGCGCGAGTGGCCCGCATGGTTTTATTTGACAGGGAACGTGCCCCCTCCAGCACGCGCGCGAGGGCGTTCAAATGATGTCGACATGCCGCGCGAGAGGCCCGTTTGGTAGGTAATACATGAGTAAGTTTTGGGGCACCAGAAGGCCCTCCAGGGAACCCCTGGGCGCGTTCAAAACGGCGCAAGAGAGATCTAGCAGGGTGGCCAGACGGCCCAAAATGGGACCGAGAGGCCTTCAGGACGGCTCGTGAGGCCTCAGAGATATCCCAACGTGGCTGGAGAGGCCCCAAGAGCGCCGCAAGAGTTTGCACGAGAGCTCCAAGAGACGCAAAGGGAAACCCGAAAAGGCGAAAAAACCCAAAGGCGAAAATGATGTTTGTGGCTTGGCATGCTCGGGTTATTGGCTCAACATGACTCGACACAAGGGCTTCGGAAGGATTTGAGATGGTTCCAGAGGGCCCCTGGGACGGGCTAAATGAGCCCCATGGGGCCCTAAGAGGCTTCAAAGAGTGCCCAGGAGGGCTTCCAGAGAGGTTCCAAATGGCGCCTGGAGGCGTCCAGAAGTCTCCCGTGCGAAGGCGTGCTTCAGTTGAGGGCAAAGTGGCGGCCAACGGTCGCCCGTTGTGCAGGCGGGGCCCGGGGCTGGGTGAATGAGCAGGCCGCGGGGAGGACCCCAGGAGAGGTTGCGAGGGCTCTTTGGAAAGGTATTGGTACGAGGAATGCGTGGGTAAGACGATAGAGGGGAAACAGTCCTTGCAGACCATGCGGCGGGAATCTGACACGCCGTACCCTGTGGGGCGGCGGAGCGGTTCGCCCATTTCGCCGGCCCATGCTGCATCTCTGTCAGCATCTAGTTGTGCCGTGGAAAGTGCCATGAGTGAGGGTGTGAGGCGAAGGCGTCAGACATGTGAGCGCGAAGCGACGCAAGATCAGTCGACGGGTCCTCCTCAAATTATATATTTGCGGTCCTTGAGGAGGCCCAGTGCAAGTTTTCGGTCGGAACCCGACAATAAGAGTAGGGGAGGGTTTGGTGGATTTTGGAGTCTTGTTTGCCTTTTGGGAGCCTCTGTTGGGGCTGTCCTGAAGCATCTTGAGACGCCATGGAGGTATGTAGTGGCCTCGTGGAGTTATTGCGAAGGCCTTACGGCCGGTGCCGCCGACTCTGTTCGCTAGGACGAGAAGGAGGAAGACGAGGAGGAGCAAGAGGAGGAGGAATATGAGGAGCAGGAGAAGGAGGAGGAGGAGGAGGAACCAAAGAAATCGATGTGGAGAAATCAAACGAGGAAACTTTTCCAAGAGAGGGGTGCTCCCCCCAGGGAGGGAGGGGGTCATCTCTTCTGGCAGGACCCCCCTCCAGGGATGGGTCACCGCCCCCGGGACCCCTTCCGGGACCACCCCCTTGCGACCACTTGCGGGGGGGCTTGCCGCCCTTGGGTCACCCCCCAGGCCCCGGGACCGTCGAGTTCAGTCGGCGGGGGACGGGCCCATTCCGTCTCCCCCATCCCCCAGCGGGGGAGAGAACAGAGGGAAGGAAGGGGCTGAATTCGACTCGATGACGACGTTCCTCGACTTCCCCTTCTGAAACGCTTGGGGTAGAGCGATTCGATGACGACGGAAAAGCGTCAAGGGGGGAGCGGCGACGACGACGACTTAAACGGAGACGCGTCTCGCACATGCCGAAAAGGCCCGCGGATTTTTGGGCCATCTTGGGACCTGCCTTTTGACCTCCGCTCTTGGGCCCGTATTGGGCACTCTTCGGCTTCTCTGAGAGCCCTTCTGGGGAGGTCCTGGAGCGCTTTTGAGGGTTATCATAGCCTTCTGGGAGCCCATCTGGACGTCTCGTGGAGCTACTGCGCCGATCCGAAAGTTTCCCCAGTTTCGCCACCGTGCTCGCCGCGGCTATCTGGGGTGGCGCGCGCAGGATAAAACTCGCGGGGCCCGAAGGCGGATGGGGGCGATGTCGCGAGGGCAGAGTCGGCGCGCCGATGGGCAGCCCAGCACCCCGTTTGGTCGGAGGGACCCAGTAAAATGCAAGGGCAGAGCCTAACCCCCGCCCGGGGTCGCGGGATCGGTTTCCCTTTTCCCTGTTTAAAATTTTGAATCCCAAACGGTGTACTGACCCGAAAATGAGCAAACGGCATAGGACCTCCGTGAAAAAACTTTCGGGTTCGGTCATGCGACGACCCGAAAAGTTTACCGGCCGACCTGAATGCGGCCAAATCCCATGGGACTTGTGCCCGATAAAGAATCCGGGCCCGTTTCGAACGACCCGAAAATGTGCAACCCCCGTAGGACTTCTTGCAAAAACGTCGTTCTCGAGGTCCTCGGGCCCGCCCCGAAGAAACCGAACATGGGCAAACCGCTCAGAATTTCCGACCAAAAACGGTTTCTCGGTTGTCCCGGGCCTCGTCCGAAGGAGCCGCCGATGGGCAGACCGCTCAGGACTTCCTGCGCAAGAAACGGTTTCCCAAGTGAGCCACTGTCAACGGGAACGCGCCCCGCGCGGGATCGGGGTTCGCCCGGGGGCGCGGCTGCTCTCGCCTGTCCAGGGGGCATGCAATGCCGCGCCCTTCCAGCATAGCGTTTGCGCTGCATTCGCGCGGCGCCGTGCCTTTCAAACAGGAATAAACTTTCGGAACGCCGATGTATGTTAGGCGATGAGGGTGCCATTTTGAGGCACGAGAAATCGTCGTCTTTCTTCTCCTTTTTCTCATCCTCCTCGGCTTCATTTCTCCTCGTGCACGTTCTCCTTCATCGCTTCCTCCTCGTCCTCCTGCTTGTCTTCCGAGTCATTGTCCTCCTGCTCCCATCGCTGCCCTCCCCGTCATCCACGCTGTCATCCTCGTCATCCGCCGCCTTGTCGTCGCAATTATCCTTACGAACCCAATGGATCAAATCGGTGCTCCCCGTTCTTGTCCGATCAGTTTTTTTTTTTTTTTTGTTTTCTCCTCTTTTCATTTCATTTCTTTTCTTTTCTTCTCATACCCCGTTGCAAAAACTGGCGTCACGGGTGGGGGTTGGGTGGGTGGCTGAGGCCGGTAACGTCACGATTCGGGCCGGCGCGGTCTGGGAATTTTGAGGAACGTCTAATTCCCAGACAGCGCTGGCGCGAATCGTGACGTTACCAGGGGGGGTGGGGGTGGCGGGGCCAGTAACAGGCGTTATTGCGAATGGAAAACAGGGGACTCTAGAGTGCTGCTGCCTCCTTCTCATGTTCTTGCTCCTGCGTCCCCTCTCCTCCCTCCTCCTGCCTCCTACTTCCTACCTGCCTCCTACCTTGCCTCCTACCTCGTCCTGCCAGGGGGCTCCCTGGTGGGCTGCACACTGCGAAACACTTTCGTGTGCTCCTGGAGGGTCCAGCGCAGCGCGGACCAGCGCGGATCCAGATTCGACCTCACCATCCCTGGGGGGGGGGGTGCGAACTGCGAAGCTGTTGCCACCTTCGCGTGCCCCTGGGGGATGCAGCGTGGTGCGGGACAGCGCGGATCCAGATTCGACGTCGCCATTTCCGGGGGGCTGCGAAACTGTCGTGCGGGCCAGCGCCTCCGCTCTTGAGGGGGCTGCGAATTGATAAAGTAGGGCTTCCGACAAATGCCACTCGCGAGTGTCCGAGGGATAATTGCGTGGCCGCTGTGAGGCCATTGGGAGACCATGAAATCAGCAAAGGTGAGGCGTGTCGAGGAGTATGAGGTCGGCTAGTGGAAACGTACATTCCTGTGTACTCTGAGGGATTCTTTGGGAAAGCACGAAGTGCGGTAGGGTGTTCACTTTTACGTCAGAAGCGTACGCGGGAGTGGAGTTCTGGCAGCACGAAGAAACGGAAGTGAGGTAGGGTGTGCCCTGATGTGTCAAAGACGTACGCGGGAATGGAGTTCTGGCAACACGAAGAGCAGGAAGAACACGGAGAGCACGGCCATGTACATCTTAGTGCGTTTTTTTGCGCCGTCCAGACCAAACATGTAGCCGGCATAGGGCGAGAGCAATACTCTTGAGTCAATTGTCAGGAAGTTTGAGGAGAAACCGCCGTTGGACGGATGTTGGACCGGGCGGTCTTGGGCTCCCCGACCCCCGTTTCAAAACATATAGTAGAAACACATATAGAAGCCCTCTCGCGCGAAACGTTCTTAGATGATGAAAGCGAATGTTTTCTGGCATCCTGCACTGCTATACCCTATTCCTAGGGGCTCCTTGGAAACGCACGACGAGTGGTAGGGTGTCCACGTTTGCGTCAGCAGCGTGCGCGGGAGTGGAGTTCTGGCAACACGAAAAGCCGGATGTGTGATAGGGTGTGCCTTTTTGTGTGGGAATCCTGCGCGGGTGTGGGCTTCTGGCGACACGGGGAGCAGGGTGGGCACGGAGAGCACGGCCATGTGCACCTTCGAGCATTTTTCACAGGAGTCCTGGCCGTCTGGGCTTGGGTGTCGCCAGCGTTGGGGCGGGGGCTCGATCCCACAATCAGCTGCACTTGTGGGGGGGTCTCGGGCGGGACCGGCGCCGGGCCGCTGCGGGACCGCTGCTGGGCCAGGCAGTCTCGGGCTCCCCGTCCCCCCTGTGGGACTCTTATGTATTTTTTTGCTCGTCTCTTTGAGAGCCCTCTGGCGAAACGCTCCCAGGGAACCAGAGATCGTCCCGTCTTGGGGGGTCAAGCATCGTCGCTGGGGTATCGGACACTTCCGCTGGCGTCCACCTGGCTGCAGACAGTCTTCACATTCTGAGGCCCGAGCGGTTTTTCAGAAGTCTGATCTGCAGGGATACAAAGCAACGCTGAAGGAGGGCCAGTCTGGGATCAGGAGGAGCTCTGGTTTTCGGGCCGTTCCTTGAGCCCAGGTCAGGGGATCTATTGTTGCCGAGGCTCGCCGTGGCCAGGACTTCGTTCCTTATGCAACGCTTCTTCTGGTAGCGCGATGGCCCCTCTCGTCCGCCGAGACGTTTTCTCCCAACCCTCCTGAGCTGGGTTCTCGGTTCGAGTAGAGCACTGTGGTCTACACCTCTCGTCCCGCCTTCCTTTTCCTCCCTGCCCCCCTCCTCCTGCCGTCTGCCTTGTGCCCTTGTGCTTTATCCACAACCCTCCCAACCCTCTTGTTTTGCGTCGGCGTTGTGAAAAAACACACACACACCTCCTCCTCCTCCTCCTCCTCCTCCTCCTCTTCCTCCTCCTCCTCCTCCTCCTCCTCCTCCTCCTCCTCCTCCTCCTCCTCCTCCTCCTCCTCCTCCCTCCTCTTTCCTCCTCCTCCCCCCCTCACTCCTCTTGCCTCCTCTTGCGCTGCTCCCTGGGGGGCTGCGAACTGCGCAATTGTCGCCACTTTCGTGGGCTCCCGCGGGGCGCGGCGGAGTAGGGGAGTACGCGGACTCAGGCGGGACCTCGCTGTTCCCTGGGGGGCTGCGAACTGCGCAACCGTCGCCACTTTCTTGGGCTCCTGGGGGGCACGGCTGAGTTGGGGGCCACGCGGACCCAGGCGGGACCTCGCGGCTCCCTGGGGGGCTGCGAAGTGCTTTGACGGTCCCCTGTCCCCTGTCCCTGGGTGGCCGAAGTCTAAAAGAAGCCGCTGGTTGAAAAAATCGGATCGTCGGGTATCCATCGGCACCACCTGTTGCTGCTGTACTATGTGTGCGCCGGCACCCCATGGGGCGACGCGCGCGCTCAGACATCCTACAGTCTATGCTCGGTGGCGGGCGCTTTCCAGCCATACCGCCAGGGTAGGGGTACACTACGAGGTGTTTGTGCTAGATGTTCGGTTTGGAGTTGAGCTTCCAAGAGGGGCGCATTGTCCCAGTATGTCCTTCTGCGTCGCAGCACGAGGTAGTCACGTCGCATCTTCGGGGGGCCTTTCCTGTCCTGTACATGGCAGTCTTTTCTTATACCCCGACGTGGGTTCGACGCGGATTCGACGTGGATTCGACACGGATTCGACACGGACTCGGTACGGATTCGACGCGCTCGACACGGATTCGACACGGATCCGACGTGGATCGCGGCGCAATGGCACAGACAAGGTCCCCTGAAGATGCAACCCAAGGTAGGCCCCCCCCGCAGTGTGGTTGCCCCGGAGGAAGCCGGCCGGCCGGGCGGGGGGCGCCCATCGGGAGTGGCTGGGCAGGGCGCGCCGGCCCCCGCCCCCGAGGAGCGGGCCGAGGAGCTGCGCGTCGCCCGGGCCGAGGCCTCGCGGAGTTGTCGTCGTCCGTCGCCCGTCGTCGTCGTCGTCGTCGTCGTCGTCGTCGTCGTCGTCGTCGTCGTCGTCGTCGCCCGTCGTCGTCGCCCGTCGTCGTCGTCGTCGTCGTCGTCGTTCCCCCGGGGTGGGTGGGCGGCTGGACCCCAACGATGGCTCTCGCGGCGGTCGCTCCCGCTCGAGAGGTGCCGCAAGAGGGTGGGGTCGTGCGCTCTGGTCGTGATCTCTCGTGGCGAGTGGCGTCTGGTCTGGTTTCTTCGCGACGTCGGATCGCCTGGTCCACGGGGCTCCGAGGGAGCTCTGGGGCTCTCCGAGCCTGGGAGCCGTCGCTCCGCGTGTCGCGCCGCGGCTTCTGGCCCACCACGCTCCGGCGCGACACGTCATCCACGTCCCAGTCCCGAAGTGTCAACGTCCCCGAGCCTTTGCTGGCCTCCCGCCCCGCGAAGCGGAACAATTTGCAAGGCTTCATGCAAGGCGTAGCGTGTCGCCGGGCCGCCGCCGCGACACGCTGAGCAAGTTCCTGACCGTAGGAGGCCCGCTTCTTGGTACTAGGGCGAGGTGTCTCCTTTCGTGACCAGATGCGCCCTGCCTGCAGCAGCTTCAGCTCCACGTGTGGCCATGTTTTGCCAGATATGCGCCTCCGATGGTCAGAATTCCAGCACCGTGATGTTTCAATGCACAGGCCCGTCTTTCCCATCGGTTTCGCTCCGTGGCTAGCTTTCTGTGTGTCTCCCAGGTCCCTACACGGGCCTCCAGGGGCCCGAACTCAATACAGTCAGCCACAATGCGATGTGCGAGGGCCGCGAGCGGGCGCGCTCGGAGTGAGCTTCCTGGCGACACCATGGCAGCAGCGCTGGTAGTGCGCAGAGCACCGTAAGGGAACGGGCCCGTTCGGAGTGCGTTTCTTGCTGACAGCGCTAGCAGCGAGATGTGCGCCAGGACAGGGCGGGTGCGCTGGGAGTGGGCGCCTCAAATGCGAAGTGCACCGGAAGCACACGGGTGCGCATGCGAGGCTCACGGAAGGAAGCCTGGCCAAAGGCATCCAGCGTGATGAAGCTATTGTTTCTTTCCTGTTGAATGGCCTCTTGTGACTGTGGCCTGTGCACGAGCGCGCGACAGTAGCAGCATCCAGATTGCGAGCCCCTTGCCTGCTGCGGGGAACACTCTGCTCTGCAAGTTCGACTTGCGGGAAACCATGTCCACCCGCAGTGGCTCGACGATAACCTCGCTTCGTGGCGTGGGCTTGAGAGGAGGTGCTTTCCAGGGTTGGCCTGGAGAATCGCACAGCGATCGCACCGCCCTGACGAAGGATATCCCCCTCAAGTCTTGGCTGGAACCTTTGCGGGTTTCGCTGGATACGTTGGCGCACCTCGGTGCGTACTGGTCCACGTACCGAAGGGCTCCGGTGGACCAGCACGCACGTTAGCGTTAACTTCACGTGGGTGCTGGCCGAAACATCAGCTTGTCTCCACCATGCTGGGGGTTCCCTGGTGGGCGTTTTTATGAGGGACGCGCTGGTTTCGGCCAGATCTGGGTCCCCAGAGGGGCCCGAACCCCTCGTGCTCCCCACGATCACTCCGCTAAACGCCGCCGACGTTGAACATGTGTTTCCGCGTGTCCCTGAGATCCGACGTCTCGAACAAAGATGCAACATCATGAGACATCACGACAGGAGCCCCAGACCGCGCATCTTTCGGCGCGCTTCTCGAGCCGGATCGACCTGTAAGGGCCCCAGGGCACGAACCCGCACGAAGTCGCCACGCCAGGATCTCAGAGGCACGCTGATGGTGAACAGCAAGAGATCGGCCCGTCTTGGGGGAAATGTCTGCGACCGCTCGCAAGCCCCTCATCCCTCAGGGTCCGATCGTCGCTGGGGTATCGGACACCTCCGCTGGCGTCCATCTGGCTGCAGACATCTCCTTCAAATTCTGAGCCCCGGGCGGTTCTTCAGAAACCTGACCGCAGGGGTGCAGGCAAGGTGCTGAAAGGAGGGCCACTCTGGGCTCAGGTGGGGCTCGGGTTTTCTGGCCGTTCCTCAAGTCCAGGTCGGGAGATCTATTCGTTGCCGAGGCTCGCCGTGGCCAGGAAAACCCCTTCGTCCCTTGTGCAGCGTTCATTCCGGCAGCATGATGGCCCCTGATATCTGCCGAGATGCTTTTGTTCAATATCCGCGGCCTCAGAGGTCCTGACCCACTCCCTTGGAGTGGTTTCTCGTCCCGGATTCATTCCTGTTGGTTCAAGCCCCGAAATCGGCCCTCGAGGGCCGAAATCTGAAAAAAGCCGCTGGTTGACAAAAATCATACAGTCGACTACGAGGAAACTCCTGGAGGCCTCGCGCGGCGCGTAATAGTTGTATCGTCTAGTCCACGCGTCCACTCCGTAAGGTCTGGGCCGACGTTCGTGCGGCGATGATCCGGTGTGAATCTGAAGGGAATCCGACGGAATCTGACGTGAATCCGACAGGTTTTCGGGCCCTTTCTTCAGTCCAGGATTCTAGGGGCAGGATCCCAGGGGCACCTGGCGGGTTCAGAAAGGGCCTCGCCTTCGAGGATCGAAGGAGTTGCCATCTCTCCCTCGGCGGAAGGCGGTGGAAGGGCGGTGGAAGGCGGCGGGAGGAGAAACGAGGCCGCCTCCGCCGGCGGAAAGCGGGCAGAAGGCCGGCGGGGAAGCCGGCGGGGAAGCACGCGTGGGCCCCGCTAAAGGGACGGCACGCGGATCCCGGTGCAGGGCTCCGGGCGCCCGCCGCGTCTCCTGGGGGCCGCCGCGCGGCAGGCGCGCGCCCTCGCGCGCGGTGGGCGCGCGCAGGCGGCCCGCAACGGCGTCTCGGCCACCGAGCTGCGCGCGGAGCTGGCGGGGAGGCGCGGCGGGCCCCCCGTGGCGGCCACGCCGGCGGCAGCGGCGGCAAGAGCGGCAGCGATCATCGAAGGCCCGGCCTCTGTGGGCCCTCTCTCGGCTCGAGGTCCCGTCGTCCTCGATCGGCTCATGCCGTGTCGTGCTGGTCGTGGTTGCGCGTGAAGTGCTGGACGCTCTGAGCGCGACTCCCTCCTCTGTCGGAGACTGGAATTATATATACACATATATATTGCCCGTGGCTAGCTGTTTTTCAATCCCAGGACGTCGGGGGGGTGCGGTGTATACTTTGTGTCTCCGTTTTTCTGGGGAAACGACGAAACATGTGTACACCAGGATCCCGTGTACACCAGGATCCGCTTTTCTGTGCGAATTTCAGTGCGGGGCCGGAAAAAGCGTCGGTATATATATATATATATATATATATATATATATATATCTACACATACATATAGATATTATATATATACACACGTAGAGGGAGAGAGAGAGAGAGAGAGAGATAAAAAAAAAAGAGGGAGAGAGAGAGAGAGAGAGAGAGAGAGAGAAAGAGAGAGAGAGAGAGAAAGAGAGAGAGAGAGAGATCGAGAGTTCGGCTCCTTACTCTGTCCTCTTCCGGGGCCGCTCTCTTTTTTTCCACCAGCACCAGCGCACCGTCAGCCCTGCCGCGCCCCTGCTGTTGCTGTGTTCGACGCCTCGCGTCCCACGTCGCCGCTGACAGAACGAAGTGCCCCAGCAAAGCACCCTGATAGCAGTAGCGGTGAAGAGGCGGGTCGAGGTCGCAATTTATGCAGGAAGCGCGCTCCCGCGTGGGACTTCCTCGCAATGTATTCAGAAGCCCCGCCCTCGACACTCAGGAATCACGCTCTCGCTTTGGCCTTTCTCGCGATTTTCTTGGGAATCGCGCTATCGCTCGAGAATTCCTCGCCATTTATTCAGGACTCACGCTTCAGCAATCCGTCTGCTCGATTTGGCCGCCTGTGACCGCCTTCCCGACCCGCCCGCTAGGGTCTGCCTCCCCGGTCTGCTCGTCGGGTTCTGCCACGTGTTTTCTGCTCCAAGCCCCCCTCCTGCTAATTTCTCTCGTGCTCCATTCTTCTCCCTCCCCCATCTAGTCGTCCTCTCTTCCCCTGTTTTAGGGGCTGCGCTACATGCACGTGGCAGGTAAGCAAGATATGCCCCTAAGGGGGTACGATCGAAGACGAAGAGGGCGGGTACAGAGGGTTTGGGATATACGTGTTGAATGGCACGCGAACGGAGGAGCGAACAGTCTGAACATGATTGTTGTTGTTGGTGTTGTTGTTGTTGTTGCTGTTGTTGTTTCTGTTGTTGTTGTTGTTGTTGAACATTATTAATTCTAAAGAATAATTATTGTTGGGCCCCCTGGTGCACGCCCCCCCCCCCGCGCCTAGGCCGCAGCTACATTTTCATCATTTTCGTGAGGAAGCCTCAGGTAAAACGATGTGATCCAGATCCGGTTGTTTTGTTGTAATCCGTTTTCCCTTGCAAAAAACACTATAAAATGACATTTCTTGTTCTAATATAATCAAATTTCAAGAATCCCTTGCAAAAAATAAGGTAAAGTGGACATTCGCGCGCGCAAGACGAAATCCTTCCAAAAGCTTAGTGTTCGGAGCGATTTTAACATAAAAACATCAAAAAACCAATGGTTTTTCAACAAAAAAATGTCAAAATCTCATCCCGCGCGCTCTTGCGGATTCGTAGGAAACCCAACACTTTTTAAACATTTCTGTCAAACGGGCTTTTGCGAGCAACTTTTTCGAACTTCTGCGACAACGGTTGCGCACCTGCCAGGGCCATCATCCCTGTCAAATAATACCATGCGGGACACATTCGTTTTTTCTTCGCGCGCGCACGCCGAAATCTCCAAAAACCATTGGGCTTCTTAAGAATTTTAGCACCGCGCATCATAAAATCACACGAATCGCACCGTAGGTCCTCGAAAAACACCTGCACGACTTTTCAAAATTTCTACCCGCGCGCGCTGTCCTAACAACTTCTGTGGGTGTGTACTCCACGCCAGTGTAGTAGCCACGGTCGTCCGCAGGCCACGAAGTGAAGTGTCCGAACGTCATAGGGCGGGAAGCTGGGTGTGGGTGGTGGCGAAGAGTCGTGTGGATATTTGGTAGAGCTTGCACTGCCCCCCCACAAAGTGGGGGTATTGGCTGGCGTCGCATGAAAACCCTGGCATTGGTGAGAACACTGAGCGTTCGGGTAAAGTGATTGTTGTTGTTGTTGTTGTTGTTGTTGAACTCTTATTTCTGAAGAATGATTATTGTTGATCCCCCCCGTCCGGTGCACATTTTTTTTTTTTTTTTTTTCTTTCTTTCTTTCTCCGTTTCCGATTGAAGTGCCCTTCCCGAGGCTCGCACCCTGTTTTTTATCAGGGAAAGTCTTGAGGCTCAAACTGGGCCCCCGGCCCCCGGGTTACAACAACAACGGCTCCCGCCTGAGACTTCCTCACAATTTAGCCAGGCATTTTATTCAGGAATCGCGCTCTCGCTTGGGACTTCCTTGCGATTTATTCAGGAATCGCGCTTTCGCTTGGGACTTAGAATTTATTATCCCGGCGCTCTGGAGTCGCGCTCTCGCTGGAGACTTGCTTGCAATTTACTGAAGAATAGCGCCCTTGCGTGGGAATTTCTTGCAATTTACTCAAGCGCCGCGCTCCCGACACCCAGGCACCCAGGAGTCGCGACCACGCTTAGGACTCCCTCCCAGGTTACATAAGAATCGGGATCTCGCTGCCCTTCGTGGCCCCGTTGCAGCCGTTTCGTGGCCCCCTCGCTTTGTTTCGTGGCCCTGTTGCATCCCTTCGTGGCCCCCTCGCTGCCCTTCGTGGCCCCGTTGCAGCCTCTCGTGGCCTCCTCGCTGCCCTCCGTGGCCCCGTTGCAGCCCTTCGTGGCCCCCTCGCTTTGTTTCGTGGCCCCGTTGCAGCCCTTCGTGGCCCCCTCGCTGCCCTCCGTGGCCTCCTCGCTGCCCTTTCTGGCCCCGTTGCATCCCTTCGTGGCCCCCTCGCTGGCCTTCGTGGCCCCGTTGCATCCCTTCGTGGCCCCCTCGTGGCCCCGTTGCATCCCTTCGTGGCCCCCTCGCTGCCCTTCGTGGTCCCATATATGTATGCCCTTCGTGGCCCCCGCTCGTTCGCGCCCGTGGTGGCCCCATATGCATCTGTCCTACGTGGCCCAGTTGCTACCCTCAGTGGCCCCATCGTTGCCTTCTGTGGCCCCGCATTATCTGCCCTTCGTGGTCCCCGCTCGTTCGCGCTCTTCGTGGCCCCATACGCACTGCACTCCCTTCGTGTCCCCGCTGTCACCCTTCGTGGCCTACTTCGTGTCCTTGTGGCCCTGCTGTCTTTCGCTCTCGCTTTCGCTCGTCGTCGTCGTCGTCGCCGTCGTCGTCGCCGTCGTCGTCGACATCGTCGTCGTCGTCGTGGTCGGTCCCCTGTCCGTCCCTCGTGGGGTCGGGTCGACGGTCCGCGGTCGCCCCGCCGATCAGCGCTGCCGCTGGCCAGGCCGACGGTCCGCGGCCGCCCCGCCGCTTGCCGGGGCCCGGCCTCCAGGGAAGAAAGGTATACCCCCCAAAAGGGGCTCGATCGAAGACGAAGAGGGTGGGTATCGAGGGTTTGGGAAAATAGGCGCTATTGGACACTCGAGCAGATAAGGGCGAACAGTCTTAAAATGATTGTCGTTGTTGTTGCTGGTGTTGTTGCTGCTGCTGCTGCTGTTGTTGAGTTTACTTCTGAAGAACAATTATTGTTGATCCCCCCACCAGTGCATACTGATTTTTCTCAATCAAAGTATGCCCCTCGACGTTCGCATCCTGTTCTATCAGGGAAAGTCTTGAGGCTCAAACTGGGCCCCTGGCCCCCTGGTTACAACAACAACGGCTCCCGCTTGAGATTTCCTCACAATTTAGCCAGGCATTTTATTCAGGAATCGCGCTCTCGCTTGGGACTTCCTTGTCATGTATTCAAGAATCGCTCTCCCGGCGCTCTGGAGTCGCGCTCTCGCTGGAGACTTGCTTGCAATTTACTGAAGGATAGCGTCTCTGCGTTGGAATTTCCTGCAATTTACCCAAGCGCCGCGCCCTCGACACCCATGCACCCAGGAGTCGCGCTCACGCTTAGGACTCCCTCATAGATTACCTAGGGATCGGCATCTCCCGGCCTTCGTGGCCCCGTTGCAGCCCTTCGTGGCCCCATCGCTTTGTTTCGTGGTCCCGTTGCAGCCCTTCGTGGCCCCCTCGCTGCCCTTCGTGGCCCCGTTGCAGCCCCTCTTGGCCTCCTCGCTGCCCTTTCTGGCCCCGTTGCAGCCCTTCGTGGCCCCCTCGCTTTGTTTCGTGGCCCCCTTGCAGCCCTTCGTGGCCCCCTCGCTACCCTTCGTGGTCCCGTCGCTGCCCTTCGTGGCCCCATATATGCATGCCCTTCGTGGCCCCCTCGCTGCCCTTCGTGGCCCCGTTGCATTCCTTCGTTGCCCCCTCGCTGCCCTTCGTGGCCCCATATATGCATGCCCTTCGTGGCCCCCGCTGGTTCGCGCCCGTGGTGGCCCCATATGCATGCCCTTCGTGGCCCCGCTGTCTCGCTTCGTGGCCCCCTCGCTGCCCTTCGTGGCCCCGTTGCTGCCCTTCGTGGCCCCGTTGTCTCCCTTCGTGGCCCCCTCGCTGCCCTTCGTGGCCCCGTTGCTGCCCTCAGTGGCCCCGTCGTGGCCTTCCGCGGCCCAGTATACGTATGCCCTTCGTGGCCCCCGCTCGTTCGCGCCCGTTGTGGCCCCATGTGCATGCCCTTCGTGGCCCTGCTGTCGCCCTTCGTGGCCCCCTCACTGTCCTATGTGGCCCTCAGTGGCCCCATCGTTGCCTTCTGTGGCCCCGCATTATCTGCCCTTCGTGGCCCCCGCTCGTTCGCGCTCTTCGTGGCCCCATACGCATTCCCTTCGTGTCCCCGCTGTCACCCTTCGTGGCCTACTTCGTGTCCTTGTGGCCCTGCTGTCGT